CCCCTGCCATTCTGTGATTCTTGTCTGAAGCGTTTCCCCCCCAGGGGAGCTGGGTCTTGCCCGCAGGGGCCACAACAGGACGCTCCTCACCTGCCCCAGGCTCAGGGCTCCTGACCTCAGCCACCCTGGGACCCTGCCGCAGGCCCCCCGAGCCACCCACCACGGGGACACATCTCCACGTCACCAGGTCGTGGAACCAACCGCACACCAGAACGACACCACCTGCTCCACAAAGAGACTTCAAGACATGCTAAACCCCTGTCTGCCCCTGGTCCCTCGGCCGGGCAGACGAAAAAGGACCCTTCACTCACCAGAAATTCTCCCCCATGAGCTCCTCCTCATGCTGGTGACCAGAGACAACACCGGATGCAGCTTTAGTCACCGTTCAGCTTATACGTTAGGGGGGAAAAAAAATAATTAATGGCAGTTTCAGCTGAGGAGGTAACCACACTGTTACTGTTCTTGAATGTTCTCCTTGTATCATACAAGCGATAATCCCTGAACAACTGTTTGATCCTGCAATATAATCTAAACAGACAACGCAACTCTTGTAAAAATGAGACAAAAGACAGGACAAGACACTCTCCCGTGTGTTTGACAAAAGCAGCAGATGATGTCAATGAACAGTTTTGAAAGGCTTTTAAAATGGTTCACTTGGCTGACTCCTGACTGTCAGCAAAAATTACCATTACGATGTCCTGCTTAAAAAGGTCTGCATGCTGTTCCTCCAGCTTCTGCACATCGGAGTAACCGAGACCTCACAGGCAGTGATCAGACAGGTTTGTTTTCATAATCCCTTTTTTTTTTTTAAGCCTTCTGTATTTTGAAGCTTTTGCTCCATGGCCTTAGAAGCACATGGAGATGCATCAGCAGCCAAGACGGGGGCCCTGCATGCAGACATGGGGGCTCGGCAAACCCTTGGCCAAGAGGTCAAGTGGAAGTCAAGCAGATCTGGTCAGTAAGAGGCCATATGTGCTCATTATCAAAGTAAAGCAGTGGGGAAGCAACACCACTTCTCTGACGGGATGCTGTGGGAGGAACGGGAGGGGCAGAGCAAGGCTGGAGCAGAGCCAGCGAGCTGTGGCCATGCCACGCCAACAGCCCCAGCACCGGGCAGGAGAAACGCAGGAAAACTACCAGGGACTTGGTGGCTGTGATGAGCTTGGACTAGAAAAGTGGTTGCAACCTTTTGGTAACGTAGGTAGCAAGAGCTGTGAAGCAGGTTGCAACGGGCAATGTGGCTGGTCACCCTTTTGGGTGCCCTGGCAAAATCTGCCAGTCTCTGGGTGCCATGGCCACACACGGCCCCTTGCTCATGGCTTTGGGTCCAGCTGCAGGAAGTCCTTGGTGGGAAGAGAAGGATTTGGGGGCCATCAGGACAGGTCAGTGCAAAAGCTGGCTGGAAGACCTGAAAACTCCACTTTTTTCTTTCCCAGCTCTGGGTTTTTCACATGGTGTTGAGTGGAGACATCTGTGCCGGCCATTAAAGCAGGCGAGAGGCAGCCCTGGGGCCGGCAGCGTGGGTCATCTCCCGTGACTCACCACCTCTGAGCACCCACTGGAGCAAGCACAGATAAGGAGAAAATCAAACTCAAAAAAACCCGAGGTCACTGGCATGGTGAGGTATTCTGGGATCTGGAGGTGGCTGAGCATAAACCAAAGCTACGGGAATGTTTCCTTTATGTTCACAGCCAAAGCCTAGGCTCCTGATCCTGGAAAAACCCAGTAAGGAACTCAAGTTTTTTACAGGCCCACACTGATTTTCAAGTACAAATGGCCAAAACTAAGGTTTTAAATGTGAAACAGATGTAAATCTGTACATTTATACGGTTTAAACCAACAATCCCAGGAAGGAGAAAGGAAACATTTCATTTCTGAATGCCATTTCTTTGCATCTGTTTTTAACTCTACAGCTGCAAAGCCAACCAAGTCAGACCAAACGGAGGGGCGACAGCTGAGATTTACTCTCCCGGAGTTCACGGCTGCTTGGAGGGGGCTGGGGAGAGAAGGACATGTCCTGCCAGCACAGGGGACCTAAGGAAAATCACAGGGGAAAGTACTAACCCTGGGAATTTGGACCAATTCTCTCCATCCAGAGCTCCAGGGACAAAGCAGGCAGGCACAGGGGGCACACGCAGTGCTTGGGGTTAACACGGAGACCTCGTAAGCCAAAGGAGATTATCGACAGTTACCTGCCTTTGGTGGGCAGATTGATACCTCTGGATGGAAAATGGAGTATAGTAAGGAGTTGTATTACTGCTCACAATGTCTTTGCCAGCAATATTAATGCTAGCTCTTCTTAAACATTAAAGGTTACGGCACCTCCCCATGGTCCTGGCTCATCATTCAATACCCAGCTTAGATCCTTCATTTGGAAAGCAAACAAAGTGCACCCTCAAAAGCAATTATAAAAACACTGATATGCCCTCAGTGCAATCAATACCTGAATGATGTCAAGGCAACAAACAAGAAAAGAAATACTGGAAGCAGGCTGCTGAGCGGAACAGCTCAGCCATGAGATTAGCACCCTTCCTTCTCCTGCAGAGCAGTGCCCACCTCCCCTGGTTTGGGAGACGTGCAGGACACGGACGGGCAAAGTGCCGGGGAAAGACCTGAAGCATTTCAGAGCTGAGGTACCAGGCGCATCCCCAGCGCCCAGGAGCAAGGCGCTTGGGAGGGGGGCTCGACCCGGTGTCCCGGCCGCTGGCACCCCACACCGCCGAGGGCCTTCCTCCTCCAAAACTCAGCACTTCGCAGGCCATCGTGGGAAATCCCTTGTTATCTCCTGCTTCGGGCATTGCTATCACCTTGTCTCTTGGAAAAGCAGAGCTACAGACCTAAAACTCCCATTTTACACAAGGAGGTATATTAAGTTAGATATATTTAGTCCAAATGTGAATTTATATCTAATTGTCTCTCTCCATTTAACTCTGTTGCTTTGACAGAATGAAGCACCTTCTACAAAAATAAACTCGGGTTTTTGTGCCCGAGGCAGATCTAGGCAGTTATCTCCTCTATGGGATTACATATGAGTTCTTCATTATAAGCTGCATTATTTGCAGCAGTTCCTGCAGCGTTAGGAAATTCTGATTTTCTTTCTCTCTCTGGCCCTAGCACTGAGCTTCCAGGCACAGATCTGATATTGAGGAGCTGCAGTCAGCACATAGCAGTATTTAATAAAGTAAAACACAAAAGAAAGGGTGATCTTCGCTTGATTGATGCCACTTCATTTGCATATGCCCACTAGCAGTACTTTGGTTAATTAATACGTCTTTTGTGTCTGTAGATGAATACAAAATAACAGGTTTGCTATCGAAGCTTTAGGTATAAATTTCTCCAATGGACAGGTTAGTTTACTTCCCGGTGTCTTCTCCCAGCATTTTCTGTGCAAATAAGACACAATGAAATAAGAAGGTGGTGACACATGACAAAATCCAAGAAGGATGCACTTGTATTTTAAAGCTAGATGAGTTAATTAGCTCATAAAATGGAAGAACTGCTTGGAGGGGGCAAGGGGGCGGAAGGATGAGAAACACCACCTTCTAGGGAAAAATTTTAGTTTGAAAATATTAACCCTTACGGCTCAGGTTCAGCTCCAGAGGCCTCCAGAAGCACGCAGATTTCAGCAGGCGCAGCAGTGCCACAGAAATTAAGACGACTGCCCGGGTGCTCGAAAGTTTAGTGCTCTGCTGGATCACAGCCTGGGTAGTCAAAGGTGGATTTTCATTTCACCCTCTGATCTGCCTCACCGGCTTCCTGGACCGGCTGCTTCTCACCAGCTCCAGGAGAGACAGGACGCTGCAAATATTGCTAAAATCTCGAGTGCAGAAAAACCCCCAATATATACTTTAGCTCCACAGTTTCTAACACCTTAGCAGCTGAGATTTCAGGCAAAGCCAAGGAAGTTTTGGTCAACCACCTGAACTCCTACAGAATTTGGGGAATGGATTTGGCTGGCAGTTTACTACCAGGGCGAGGAGGCTGCCGAGGAGGCAGCCCGCGGTGCAGAGGTCAAGCTGCGGCATTTTCCCTTGCCGGGGGACTCCTGTGAAAACCCTGCAGTCAAAGAGACAAGCGAGAACCGTGTGCAGGGTTAACTGCCTTTTACACATCACGGCAGCGGTGCATCACAGCGATTAGATCATCTGTGAGGCAACAGTCTTGCTATGAATAATAAATGCACCACGGGGAAGCCAGAAAGTTCACTGCTGTGACAGTGTTCCCTTTACAGGGAGCTCCGACTGGGAATGCTGTTCAAAAGGAGTCCCACGGAGCACCACCTCTGCAGTCGCCATCGAGCATCACCAGGACGCACAAGCCCGAAGGATAAATGCCCTAGGAAACAGAAATCACGTCCAGTTATTTCCACCGCTGTTCTCAACGACGCACAGGGCAAGTCTCCAGCGGTAGCACATCAAGGGGCGCGCGTTCAGCGCCAGGCTCTTGTTAGTCACAAAAGGAAAGAGGAGATTTTCCAGGATGGGTGAAGCAGATCAAGGATTAGTTTCCACTGAATTTTGCTGGGAATTTTCTCCCCCTTGTCGCACTGAAGCAGTGACCCAAGTCTGCCTACACTAGAAAAGCTGTAGAAGTGAGCCAACTCATTTGAGAAGACAACCAACCAAACTGGTATGTCCTGTCACTGCCATTAATATTGTTTGAGTCCAAAGATGCCAGTATCTTTTCTAAAACACGAGACAACGCAATCCCTACCCCAACCAAGCTTCACATATACAAAAGCTACCTTGGTAACTTGGAATATGGTAAACCAAGCAAAGCGAGCTCAAGTACACAGGATTTATTTAGGTCAAAGTAAGCCAGGGGCTGGACGCAGCACACTCTGCCCGAGGCAGAGATCTTTCAGAGCCTGCTGCAAAGCTTCAGAGCTGGGCGTGAATGTGTACCCAGCGTTAACGCCCTTCTTGTTGTACCTCTGCTTCGTACTCACTGCGTGCTGGAGCCGGTGCCAGCCCAACGGGGAATCGTGCAGAATCGTGCCCAGTGACGCCAAAAAGCAGCAGGTCAGGAGGCAGGCGAACGGCACGCGAACGCGCTGGTCCCAGTCTCCCGGCGGAACGGGTGACTGGGACCCGGCGCGATCCATCAAACCGGGCCGTAAGCTGGCACAAAAGAAAGCGCGATAAAGCAATCCCAAAGAGCAGGACGCCGGCCTCAGGAGGATTTGGATGTTCAAGGAGGTGTCCAGGAGGAGACGCGGGGCC